TTTTTTTTTTTTTTTTTTTTTTTTTTTTTTTTTTTTTTTTTTTTTTTTAGCCTGAGTAGAGAAGCAAAGAAATGAATGGGCATGAAGTCTAAATCATGCTCTACCTCTGAGGTTTGAGCATTGGCCTGCTAAACCCAGGGTTGTGAGTTCAATCCTTGAGGGGGCCATTTAGAGAGCTGAGGCAAAAATCTGTCTTGGGATTGGTCCTGCTTTGAGCAAGGGGTTGGACTAGATGACCTCCTGAGGTCCCTTCCAACCCTGATATTCTATGAAAATGAAGGTCTTGTCTTCCTTGGAAACTTTTCCCCAATTCTAGCAGATTAATAGCCATCTGCCAAGGTAGCTGCACTGGTGCAGTGCTCAAGGGTAGACAAGGAAAGCAGTGATTTGCATGGTGGACTTACCCAAGTTTCAAGCAAGTATAAGTGGTGCTGGTGCAAACTGAGGCTTTCTTTGTCTGTACTTTGGGATTAGACCACTGCAATTACATCAGTGGCTATCCCTTGGTTGCTGGCATCAGGGGAAATTCTCAATGTAAACAAGGCCTTAGAGAGAATCCTTCCCGGATTAGCAGTGTGGGGAAGCTTTACCGTTGTTGTTGATGCCAAATGTGTGCTGTGGAAAAATAGTGACCTCCAATAGCTTAACTATGGAGTAAAGATTCACTGTTGAGTATGAGATACCAGGCATATTTTTAATATAGAATGGGATATCTTAGCAGAAAAACCTGACAGCCAGAAAATATAGGGCCGCTGCTTTTCACAATACAATGGTCTTTGCACTTTCCTGAAGATGAGATGACCTGGCACTATTAGCTAATGGGTGTCTCAGGCAAATATCTGCTCTCCACAAATACCCACAGAACTAAATGTACCTTTGCACTGGTTTTCTTTTAAATACGTATAGCGCTCATACAGGGACCAGTCGGACAGTCCTATAATACTTAGTCCTGCCTTGAGTGCAGGGGACTGGACTAGATGACCTCTCGAGGTCCCTTCCAGTTCTATGATTCTATGAAACTGAAGTCCTCTTCCCGAACAAGCACACCCCACAGGCAACAGCGATGTAACCTGCTCCAAACCATGCTATCTATGTACCTCACACTTAGCCTGAAGATCTAACCAATTGAAAGTGAGGGAAATCGCTGCAAGCTGCATGGACACTTTTCAAAGACACCATAATAGAGGCCCAACTTAAATGTATACCCCACATTAAAAAACACAGTAAAAAAAACTAAAAAAGAGCCACCGTGGCTTAACAACCATGTAAAAGAAGCAGTAAGAGATAAAAAGGCATCTTTTAAAAAGTGGAAGTCAAATCCTAGTGAGGTAAATAGAAAGGAGCATAAACACTGCCAAATTAAGTGTAAAAATGTAATAAGAAAAGCCAAAAAGGCGTTTGAAGAACAGCTAGCCAAAAACTCAAAAGGTAATAACAAAATGTTTTTAAGTACATCAGAAGTAGGAAGCCTGGGGCCTCTGAACGATCGAGATACAAAAGGAGCACTTAAAGACGATAAAATCATTGTGGAGAAACTAAATGAATTCTTTGCTTCAGTCTTCATGACTGAGGATATTAGGGAGATTCCCAGACCTGAGCTGTCCTTTATGGGTGACAAATCTGAGGAATTGTCACAGATTGAAGTGTCAGTAGAGGAGGTTTTGGAATTAATTGATAAACTTAATAGTAACAAGTCACCAGGACCAGATGGCATTCACCCAAGAGTTCTGAAAGAACTCAAATGTGAAATTGTGGAACTATTAATATGGTTTGTAACCTGTCCTTTAAATCAGCTTCTGTACCCATTGACTGGAAGATAGCTAATGTAACGCCAATATTTTAAAAGGGCTCTAGAGGTGATCCCGGCAATTACAGACCGGTAAGTTGAACGTCAGTACCGGGCCAATTAGTTGAAACAATAGTAAAGAATAAAATTGTCAGACACATAGAAGAACATAAATTGTAGGGCAAAAGTCAACATGG